CATTTCCCCTGCCACAAAATTTACATCAATAGGAATAGTTTGATTTTGACGATGCTTCCAAAATTTCTGAAAAGTTTGGGATTCTTTTCAAGATATTTCTTCCACCTTTCTTTTCGGTTTCCACGAATATTCATCATCCTTTCTTCCCAACGTTCTAGGAATCAGTTACAAATCCAAAAAAACGAATAAGCAAATAAAATGTCAATAGTAGAAGTAAACAATTTTTTACTAACCCAAAACACCTCTAACACGCACAGATCCTTTTATTCTCAAATAGTCCGACCCTGAAGAAATAAGATTCGAGATTAATTGTTAAAAAACAACGTTAAGCAATTCCAAGCAAAACTCATCATACGCACTCTAAATATCTCTAAATCTTTTGTAAGTACAATTATTTCTTTTTCCTTTTCTTTTGTAATTGTTTCTTTTTCCTTTTCAATTATTTCTTTTCTCATAATTTCACGTTCCAGGTAACGAAACTTCTTAAACAATACCATCTGTTCGGGAGCTGTGAGTGATTTAAAAGCATTATTAATATCCTCCTCATCTTCAGGTATATTATTTCGATATATAAACGTTTGCTTAATACTGAGAAAAAGCTTTTGTTTGCCATAGAGAGAAGGGATTTGTTAGCTACGGGGAAAAAAGTTTTTTCGATGTAGGGCGAAGGAGGTTCATGGAGTTAAGATTTAAAATTTGTGTTGGGTATTAGAGAAATACGTTTTTGACGAAAACATTAAAAGCCGTAATGAGCAAAAAAATGACATCATTTAGGCCAAGACAATAGTCTATTTTATTAAATTCAAAACATATAAATATGACAACTGTTCCCGCATTTTTTTCGTAACACCAACGTAGAGGAAGAACATTCCTCTCGGGCCATTTCGGCACAAGATAAAATTCAAGCTTACGAATGTGCACGCACATTCAAACTATGCTTCGCATTCGGTGCTAATTTTGATGCTTTGAACAAATATGTATATGATTGATGTCGTGTGATTTTATGACACCAGAATATCATCGCGCCATAATAATAATGCTAATCTGTATTTCACGAAACTCACTGTTACGTTTTCGTTTAAATTTGTTATTTATGAAAATTATAACATAAAATCATACTCTTTTTATACAAAACATTATTTAGAGTGTGTTGCAAAAAAAACCGGAAAATTACTGTTGTCAAAAAACTTTTTATAATATTACTAAAAATTCATCAACTTGACTCAAATAAATTTTCAAACAAAGTTTTGCTTTTTTAAATCATTTTAAATCATTTTCTAACTGAATCTGGCAATTAGCTGTTGAGTAATTTGCTTTTAAAATTCACAATATGGTTGAATTTTACTTGCTTTTTTGCAATTATGTTATTAGAATAAATGATACATTTACCTAATCAATATATCAGACCGCTAACACTCCTTTCTCAAATAACTATTCAATATTAATAAGTTGTATGAATGGGTGATGTGACTTATATGAGGGTTAATCATTCAAAGAAACAGAATCACCTTTGGAATCACGTGACACATCACAATTTATTATTATTAATATTATGTACTAGATTTCTTTAAAATTTTTGGTAATTGATTATAAATAATGATAGAAGTTAAAATTTAAAGATGTGAGATGATTCATCATAGAAAAGTGGGAATCCAACTCCTGATTCATTTCTAATCAATTTACTTTGGTAAAAAAAATCAAGATGTCAGCCTGTAATTAAAATCATAGTGAAAGTATTTCATATTAAAATATATTCAATAAAAGTTCTGCCCTTAACCTATTGAATGGAGATATTTCTATACAAATTAATGCAGTAGTTGTTCCATGATGATTAATTTGATTTTTCTGGTTTTTTTTGCAACAAACTGTATTTCATAAGTTACTGTATATCCATCAATTATATCATTTATTATCTCACTGATGATTTAGAAAGAATATTCTTGTTTGTATCATATGCAATATGTTTATATCAGACCCAGACACTTTACCAACACCCACTTTACTGACAAGACACTTTAGCAACAACACATGACGTGATATTTTAGCATTTTGTTAGTTTGTTTGATTGTGTAGAGATTAAATGTAACCTGTGTGTTGTCGGTAAAGTGTCTTGTCAGTAAAGTGGGTGTTGGTAAAGTGTCCCAGACCTGTTTATATTTATTATCTCATTTTTATATCATATCATTTGATCATTTAGAAAGAACATTCTTGTTTGTATTGTAAACTACATTTGTATTATATATATCATTAGTTATATCATTAGTTATATCATTGATTATATCATTTAGCAATTTGTAAAGAATATCCATTGTTATATTGCAAAACAATACATTTATGTATTTTTTAAAACAAACTAGTATAGATACTTATTTAAATAAAGAATAGTAATTTTTTGTTTATCTTCTATTTGTTTTATTAAACATCATTCATCTTCTGTTTTGTTTTATTAAATGATTTCATCTTCTATTTATTTTATTAAATGGTTATTCATCTTCTATTTGTTTTATTAAATGGTTATTCTTTTTATTATTTTATAAATAAATATTTTTTTCAAAGTTGGATATTTAAGTTAAAATGTAAAAACCTATTTGCAAGTACATCAAACTCTTGCTACTTGATTAATTATTGAATGTTTAAGTGTGGTATATATATAAAACTTTACAAACAGTTGTGTTGCAAATTTAATAATTAAGTGTAGTATAAAATAATAATTTGTGTTACAACTCAATAAGTTAGATCTCTTGATAAGTCAGACCATATGTTCAGCCATCCATGTCCAACTTATTAAGTTTACCTATGTATTATAAAATTATATATAAAGGGATAAATGTATATGAAAAGTAATAATAAATATAATGGTTCTAATGCATATCAAAAAGCCATTGATTTTTTAGAAAAAGGTAGTGATTGTGGTTGTTCTTCCAGAATTCCCAAGGAAGAATTTGCAGAATTTGCAGAATCTTTCTAAGTCAGAACAAGACATATTTTTAATGGCTCAACTTAAGGCAATGTATGGTGGATTAACAAGCACTAGTAGACACCTTAAAAAGAAAACCAGATCTAATAAAAGAACTTTCTATCACTGGGATCACAATACACCTCTTTGCCAAGAAACTTATCTCAATATGTTAGGAATAAGGTTTCTGGTCGAAATTGCTTCTATTAGTAGCCGAAATTGCCCAAATACTTTGGGCAAAAATTATTTTTTTATAAGCCCAAACTACTTTTTGTTATTAGCCGAAATTGGGCGAAATTATTTTAAAGTTGTTTAAGTTAAAACAAGTTGATTCATATAGTTTTTTAATGTTCATGCTTATAGAAAATGTTGAGAAGCCCAAATTGCCCAAACTAGTTTGGGCTTTGAGAAAACAGTTTGGACCAGAAACCTTAATGAACACAGCAGTTATAATATTTTAAAACAAATTCTTATTGTTCATACATTTTATTAAAGTAAGTCTTAATAAAGTACAACAATATAATAATTGTTACAAGATCATTTGTGATTATTAAAGTAATGATTGATTAAATGACTATCACAAGGTTTGTAATTTCTTTAGTTTCAATGTTAATATTAAATTACATTGATGTTAATAATTAATAAATTGTAGGCAAACTATAGAAAATTATTTCTTAAAAAGAAAATTAAAAATTATGATCTAGCACAAACTGGTATAGATCCAAAACCAATTGATATCAAAAAAGCAATAGATTATGTTGCTAAGTCCTGGAATAGTGTCACATCAACAACTATTTTTAATTGTTGGAAAAAAACTGGGATTATTCCTTTATTAGATGGGGAACTATCTAATGAAGAAATAGAAAATTCTATAAATATAATAGAAGATATTTCAAACAACCAAAATAATGAAATCAATATTTTAATCAATACATTACAGTTTACTTCGCCATTAGCAGTAGAAGAATATATTTCAATTGATGATGAGGTGGAAGACAATGAAATGATAACAGAAGAAGAAATTATTGCTTCATTTATTCCAGCAGTAGAAGAAGAAACTGGTGAAAGTAGTACATCCACATCTAAGACTAAAGTTTCAATTAGTGATGCTATTGCTGCCATTGAAACAGTGTACGATTTTCTTCAACAAGGTGATATTGAGATTGATTACAACGAAACTAAAACTCTTAAATCATTAAAAAGAAAATTGGGATTATTAAGAATTAAAAAACAAACACAAACTAGCATTAAATCATTTTTCAAATAAAAATTTTTACATTTTGTCATTATCATATTTATGTTGGTATATTATTATATTTATGTTTATTTTTGTAATAAAAAAGTTTTTGTCGTACAATAAAAAATCATAGATCCCGATCGTCACAACGAAGTTTTGTCACAACGAATTTAAGTTGTTGGTACCATACCTTCGTTATGACAAGGTTATACTGTATGATTATTTTGAGTGTAATAGTAATAAGTCATATCCAAGTTAGATATTGCTCACATGAAATTGTGTTTATTTTTTTGGTGTAATAAATTTAAACTTTAATTTAGTAAGCAATTGATTGGTTCAGGTTGTTAATTCAAATTTTTTAACGAAGCAATAAAAACACATTTTAATTCTCAAATGAATTGGACTTTTTTTATTAAAATTAAAATTCATGAATAAATAATTATTTGCGTAACAAATCTAATCATTAATTAAATAAAATAAAAAATAAAAATAACATTAAATTCTATGTTGGTGTTATGAAAAAATATGAGAACGGCCATACCATTTATATGTTTCGAATTTAATGAAATTGACTATTGTTTTGACCTAAGTGATATGATTTTTTTACTCTTTATGATAAAGAAGGTGCAATCCAAATCAAACTTAACTTTAATAGATTTTGGTTCTTGCGCAGCACAGCATGCACAATAATAATAATAATAAAAAAGAAAAAAGCTCCACATTGAACTTGTCAATTAAAAACATAATAGTTAATAGTGATCTTTATCACACTAACTAAAACCAAATCTCTTTCTGTTCACTTGGAAAAAAAGATATTATTATTTTGCATGATAAATGGTAAAAAATGTTTATCACATGGACAAGGCAACATAGATCATCAAGTGTATCAGGAAAATAAAAAAATTATTTTTTGAAATTTATTACCCAACAAAAACAAAAAATTCCTTCCCAAAAAATTAAGTTTGAAAAACAGTGATTTTTCACTAGCTGCTCATAGCACTCACTATCTTGCTGAGCTCTGCAGAGAGAAAGAAGAATTGCTATCACTATTAAAAAATGTGTTGAAAATTGTAGAACTTCAGATTTTCCAAAAAGAGGTTTTTTTTCTAAAAAAAGAATTCAAATCAGCAAATGATTATCGCTTCTAAAAATCTCTAAATAAAAAAGGATAACGAAGCGTAGTACCAATACCAACTAATTTCTTTCTTGCGCTAACAACTCCAAAAACCAGATATAATTTCTTGTTTAAATTGTCTAACCAAAAATTTAGGTGATATACTTACAGGCGGACTATTATATTCTTTATGTTTTGAGCTTTGTGTCCTCGTAAACCATCAATGTTTTTATATTAATAATCATGTAGCCGAAATTGCCCAAATACTTTGGGCAAAAATTATTTTTTTATAAGCCCAAACTACTTTTTGTTATTAGCCGAAATTGGGCGAAATTATTTTAAAGTTGTTTAAGTTAAAACAAGTTGATTCATATAGTTTTTTAATGTTCATGCTTATAGAAAATGTTGAGAAGCCCAAATTGCCCAAACTAGTTTGGGCTTTGAGAAAACAGTTTGGACCAGAAACCTTAATGAACACAGCAGTTATAATATTTTAAAACAAATTCTTATTGTTCATACATTTTATTAAAGTAAGTCTTAATAAAGTACAACAATATAATAATTGTTACAAGATCATTTGTGATTATTAAAGTAATGATTGATTAAATGACTATCATGGAGGTTAGTTGATCAAAGGTTAAACCGCAGCAAACAAATGAAAAGAAGCCTCTCCAATAGATGGACGTGGTAGATAAAAAATAAAATAAAAAATAAAAAAATAAAACCAAAAAGGTAAGGAAAGATCAATTTTTTTAACATCAGATGAACAAATAGTGAAAATAATTAGTAATAAATAAATCATTAATGATATTTTCAGAGTAAAAAAAAAATTTTTAACTAAATCAAAGAAACGTCTCATTTTTTTCATCTCATGTTTCCCAAAAAATTGTGTTTAGTAAAAATTTATTTTTTAATCAGCTCAATGCTCACTTAATCTGTTTGATTGTTCGATCATTTGTTCACTCATGTATAATGAGCATTTATTTACAAATATAGGCAAACAACAAACTGAATTTACAAAAAAAAAATAGTGGATCAAAACCAAAATCATACAATCTATCCCAAGTAAGGAAAAAAGCAGTGTTGCGGGATTTGAGCAATCTTTTATAAGTGTTAAATAGTCAATTAGTCGATTTTTGCAAACAATCAGGATCAAAATTAGCTCATTCATCCATTAAATAAGAAACTAATTCATTTATATTTTTTTTGGAGGAGTAATAGTAGTTTTATCATCTTCCTTAAGCACTTTTATTGCACAAGTTATTTGTGACTGAGAATGATTGAGTACACCAGAAATGTTATGAGTACTTTCACCTGCTTTCCAACATCCAATTATTCTTCCTTGTTTAAAGTCTGTTAATTGAGACATGATTTTTTAATTAAAATAACAAGTCAAAAGTTCAATTATCTTTTTTTTTAAAAAAAATAGGTTTGGTTAGGTATTTCAGCCGCAATTGCCATTTAAAGTTTTGTTCATGTGTAATGAATAATTTTACTGACAATCATTATCAGTCGTGTAGAACGACCTTTACATAGCACATAAGACAGGTTTTGGTACAGATTTTTGTAAGTTTTAAATTTGAAGATTTTAAAAGTGATAAAAATATATAGAAGCAAAGAATGATGAAATCCTTTTATTATTTAATCACAATAAATCGATCACTAGAGTTTGGTGATGATGAAGTTGTTATTTAAATAATGCAATTTTCATTTTTCAATTTATATCCTTATCAATTAATCAGCAATTAAAATAAACTGTACGAAAAATTTGTTTGTTACACGTCATTCAGTTCTCCACCATACGTAACACGGCAGCCTTTGTTAACAAAGGATCCAAAAGTTCTTTTTCAAATCATTATATATGACAAAATAAACAAATAAACAAATAAACAAATAAACAAACAAAAATCATGATAAAAAATAATTAATTAGTAACTTAGTATACAGTCATACCCTCTTTTATATCCCCTTTTTGTATCAGTACTTTTGTGGGGTATATTTCAAACAGTTAATCATTTCACGTGGTTTTTAATTTAAAATATTCAATATTAATAACTATTTAAACGTTTTATTAATTCACTGACATACTTGACATCTTTTTTTTGTAGCAAATTCTTGTTGTTCTAAGAATCTTTTTGCAATTTGAAATGCTTTTCTTCCTCCTTCTATAGAAATAATAGATTCCAGTTTATGAATTTATAAATTTTATTGGGATATTATTTTATTCAATTATTAGGATAAAAGAATGTGTACATATTATGCCAAAGTCAAAACCAAGTTCTTTTTACATGTAAAAAAGATACTTTGCCACAACTGTGAAAAAAAGGATATTTTTTTTTATTGTCAAAAGAAATCAGCCATGTCTTTCTTTGTTGTTAAAGGAATCAACAAGTCGCCACCAAAAAAAAATTTATCCTTGTTATTTGTTAAAGGAATCAACCAACTCACCACCAAAGAAAAAAGAACTAATTTCTTTGTTGTTAAAGGAATCAATCAAGTCGCTAGCAAAAAGAATAATTGATAATTAATTTCTTTGTTATTTGTTAAAGGAATCAACAAACTCACCACAAAAGAAAAAAAAGAATAATTTATAATTAATTTCTTTGTTATTTGCTAAAGGAATCAACCAATTCGCCACCAAAGAAAAAAGAATAATTTCTTTGTTATTAAAAAAATCAATCAAGTCGCCACCAAAAAAAAAAAACCATTGTTATTAATATTAAGAAATCAAAAACGACGCCAAAAAATTTGTAAAATTTATTGTAAACGTTAGGTTACACTTGTATATATATATCCTTAAAATGGGAATATAATGGAGCCAAAAAATTGGGGATAGGGATATAACTCAATGGAATAAACGAGGTTAAAATAATAGGGTATAAAAGAGGGGTATGGATTCAAAATAAAAATCCAATAGTAAATAAGGTTTAATAAATAAATAAATTTGTAAAATAAATAAATGAATTGAATGTGTCAAAACCTATGCACACAATTTACAGTCCAAAGTTACTAATATGTAACTCACGTTTAAAAAACTATTAAATCAGTCCTTAACTGGTTGTCACCCCTGGAAAACAACGTCCATCGGTATTAGCATTATTATGAAAGTAAACTTTGGGCTCAGGGTTAAGTTTTTATAATAGTATTCTTTGTATACGATACGAACTAGGAAAAAATCAATCTATTAGTCCACGGTGTTCTTACTGCTTAGTTGGACTACTTTGCGGAATGTGCCTTACAGAGCTTCCAGAAGGAGTAAATATTGAAATTGACAGCGTAAAAATAAGATTGGGGATAAATATTATTTTTAAATTAAAATTTTTTGAACAAAAATTATATTAAATATGTAAATAATAATAAATTCTAACATAATATACAATAATACTATCAAAGTTTTAAAAATCAAATTTGTCAAATGCTCTATTACTATTAACATCACTATTGCTATCAGTGTTATCTAAACAACTAATTATTATTTCACAATGTTAATAAATGAATTAGGTGAATTTGATCTATCCGAGCAATCACCATCTGATCTAGAATTTTTTGGATCTATATTGCTATTCTCAGAATCAATCTTTCCTTTTGATGGAAGTGAATTTGATTTTAAATCGACATCTTCGACTTTACTTATTACACCAATATTGTGATCATCTGATCTATGATTTGGATCCATATTGCTATTGCTATTTTCATCAATCTTTCCTTTTGATGGAGGTGAATTTGATTTTAATTCGACATCTTCGATTTTACTTATTACACCAATATTGTGATCATCTGATCTATGATTTGGATCTATATTGCTATTTTCAGAATCAATCTTTCCTTTCGATGGAGGTGAATTTGATTTTAATTCGACGTCTTCAATTTTACTTATTATATCAATATTGTGATCATCTGATCTGTGATTTGGATCTATATCAATATTGCTATTCTTAGAATAAATCTTTCCTTTCGATGGAGGTGAATTTGATTTTAATTCGACATCTTCAATTTTACTTATCACATCAATATTGTGATCTCCATCTTCTTGATTTTCGTCTTTAATTGATGTTGAAAATGATGTTGTTGCTGATGTTACTGTTGACAATGATATTATTGTTACACGTTTACGAATTTTTGGCACAATTCCCCGTACACCCCGCAACGATACAAGATTACGTGTTATACAGTAAATCAGTGCGTTAACAAATCCTGCTGATGTAAAACTGCATGCTGCTGGTATTATACTAATAATTAATTAATTAATGGTCACTTTTTAATCAATCGATCAATAAAATAAATCAATTATTTAAATAACCACTTACTATACAAACGAAATAGGTTCATCTTTTCTAGCAATAGAAATAATTCGCACTATTTCATATACATAAAATGATCGATCAGTGAAGATTTATTAAACACGCAACAAAATCAAGAAAATATCAAAGTACTCACGTAAACCCAACGGAAATACTAAAACGATGTACACTATAGGATACCAAACTAATTTTTTATTAACATTTTATGCATACATTTATATCCATATTCAATCAACTACATTGGATGTTGACCATCCTAAAACAATTTTAATATTTG